AATCGGGAGGTCCTGGAGCAGGTGGAGCGGGGCTACAGGATGCCGTCCCCCCAGGACTGCCCCGTCTCGCTGCACGAGCTCATGCTGCAGTGCTGGAAGAAGGAGGCGGAGGAGAGGCCCACCTTCGAGTACCTGCAGGCCTTCCTGGAGGACTACTTCACAGCCACCGAACCTCAGTACCAACCCGGGGATAATCTCTAAACCTGACCCCCCCACACCCCCCTGAGTCGGGTTGAGCCTGGCTCAGAAAGGACTGTGTTTAAAACATGTCTTTATGAAGGAAACAAACTGTGACGCAGCCTGGCCTCTTTTTGTTTTAATGACCCTCAGCTCACCCTGAGCCTTTCAGACTCAACTCCCACCTCCATCACCGACCCCCACCCCACCCCCCCGGAGTCAGAACTCTGACCAGGCGGCCGGCCGGACTGAGCCGGGTCTGTGTCGATGCGATGAAACACCTGTGTTCACTGTAAATAAGAAAAGCTTGTTTTAGTCTGATCCTCCTGCAGATTTTATTTTCTCCTCCCTGATCCATCCAACAGGAACTGGATCACACTCCTGGCTTCTTTCTAAACATTAAACTGGATGCCTCGGGATATAATGTACGTTCTTCTTTTGTTTTTGTTTTTTACAACATCTCAGAAAATCTCCTTCAGTTCGTTTTTCTAGTTTTGTCTCTTTTTTTATTGTCTTATTGCGACGGCTCACTGCAGTACTTCATAAAACCAGGAGGACTCTGGGCTACAAGTGTTGGAAACTGCTGTAGTTAGTGAGAAAATACAGAAATATTCATGCATTCTCACTGGTTTCCATGTGAACGGTTAATGATTGTGTTGTAAGGGTTCAGCTGTGGTCCACAGGATGGATCTGATGCCTAAAGCCTGAGCAGAGAATCTCACCTCAAAGCAGGGGTGGAGCTAGATTACAGGGGTGGCCAAGGTGCTTTTAAGGAGGGGCACACAAATAAATAAAACTACTCTGGATTTGGAATTTCAAGATGGCCGCCACAGTCAGTTTCAAATAGCTCTAATTCAGCTGTTCTGAGATATGTTGAGCTGAAAATTTGTGTGATCGTAGCTGAGAGTGATCCGAAGTTGGTTATGGTGTTAGTCGAGAGCGCTCTCCATGATATTTTGAAAGCTAAAATCCATTTTAAGCTAAGGGCTAATGCTAATATGAGGAAAAAGTTATATTTCAGCCTCTTGCAGACACATAAAGCTAAGCTTTTTAGAGCTACTGAGCTGAAACTTGGTGTACTGGTAGCTGAAAATGATCCCTTATACATTCTGCAAATCACAAATCCAAGATGGTCACTCAGCTATTTGTAGACATACTGAGCTTAAATTTGTCTTGGTGGGAGATGTGAAAACCAATATGGTACGGTCAAATCTTAAATTGGTACCACTTTACAATAAGGCTCCCCTTATAGATGCCTTATAAAGTTTATAGATAGGTTATTAATTCATCTGTAAACACTTTATAAATCATTAATAAATGTTTATTATGCAATAATTAAGGACAAGAAAGACACAAAACTGTCCAGTTTCTTACCAAATAATGAGACAAATCTGTTCACATACATATTTCATCTAAAGTTAAATTAAACATTTCAGACTAGGTTACTACATTTTAAGTACAATAATGACAAGAAACACATATTTTAACATTTTAATATTGTACTGTATTACAAATATTCACAACCGTCAAAGGGAGACTTAAAAAGTGTAATACAGTACACTATTTGAAAAATGACAAACATTTATAAATGCCAAACGTTAGTCGTTAACGTGAAAAATCCTCATTTTTAAAACTTGGTGTTGATTATCAGTATTTGAAATTATTGCTCAAACATGTAACTAATGTCAATAATGTCAACAATGTTAACATACCAAATAGTCCCACCCCATCAAAAATAGTGTACAGTTTTACACTTTAAAAAAAGGATACCTTTAATATTTTTGGATATTTATAATGTTATTATATTAATTCTGTTTATAATCAGTTCTGAACCTTCTGTTAGTCCAGATAAATGAAAGATTCTCTCAGGAAAAATCCACAATTATATTACTGTGTTCACAGTAAAATAAAAACAGTGATTTACATAAAAACACAATAACAACATTGTAATGAGATTCTCTGTGATTTTTTTATACCATTATAAATCTTTAAGGCATGATAAAAGGAAAGAAGTGGTTCCACTTTTCTTGTGACAGTCATTATCATGATTTAACAAATGCATAAACATTCTTAGTTAAATGTCCTGATGCATCTCAGTAATCCAGGTAAAAAATCAAAGGAAAAAAAAAATTGTATAGGTCCTCTGGACGGGTTCTTCTTTAATGAAACGTTTCGTCTCTCYTCCAAGAGACTTCTTCAGTCTGAGAGTTTCAGGCTAAATTCAGGCTTTTATGTCCTGCCTCCAGGTGACTGATACTCACATCACATGACCATCGTTCACAGGTTCACAGGCTCATTCTTAGTTAAACAACAAATGAATCACGAACAGAAGAGATTGTTCTGTCCATTATCTGATTAAGAGAACTGAGGGGTTCTCTTCCACGGTTAGAATGACCTGTCATGGCCTAAATAGAGTTCAGTTTGTGACAGAGTTCCTGTCCGAGGCCTGACGAGAGGCAGTAAATCTTGTTTCTTCACTCGAGGTGACCCCTACACAGTGACACAGCACAATGTTAAATGTTAAAATATGCATTTCCTAATAATAATAATTATTAACAGTTATTATTGTACTTACAAGGTTGTAAACTACTCTGAAATGTTTACTACCAAACAGATTTGGCTCAGTATTTGGAAAGAAACCAGTTTAGTCTCTTTTTTTACGTTAACTAAGGCATTATAAACACTTATTAATAATTTATAAAGTGTTTATGGATGAATTAATAATGTATCTATAAACTCTTTAAAAGCCATCTATAAGGGGAGCCTTATTGTAAAGTGGTACCCTTAAATTTAAAATGGCAGACCCTGTCAAAGTTTTTCAAGGAACTTTTCCAGCTCCATGTCGTCGCTGTTTCTAATTATTGACCAGTTTTAATTAACTGGTTCTTAAACTCAGAATTATTCCATACAATTGTTGCTTTATATTAATTTGGTGGTTTGGAAAAGTGTTGTTTCTTCACACACAGTGACAGTGCAGCATTTTTGCTCTAACTCATCTTAATTTGTCTCATGCTGTTTCCACCCACCTGTCAATCATTTAGGGGTGGCTAATCAGGTGCCACTCATCTGGCTCCACCCCTGCCTCAAAGTGTTTGCAGATATTCTGGAGCTTCCCTCACAGATTCTGGTGAAGAAGAAGCCTCCAGCAGCTGCAGCCCAGTGAAACACTCCCCTTCACTTTGGTTTTTACTTCCCCTGCTTCAGTAAACTGAATCAATCTGAACGCTCTTGCCTGTTGGAGCGATCTTAAAGGAAGTCGTTTCTTTTCTTCAACCATAAGTGTCTTTTTAGTTGTTGTGTTTTAGTTCAGCTGAGAGACAGAAAAGTGTATTTTCTGTCAGTGAGAGGCCATTCGAGGTCTCGAATCACAGAAACGATGATGCTCACTGGTTCCTGGATCTGCTTCCTGCTGCAGCTGATCCCACATCTGCAGGGATCCTGAGTTCATCCTGCTGTTCTGACATCTTGACTCGTTGGTTTTATGGAGCATGTTTTTGTTTTTTTGTTTTGTTTTGTGTGTGTGTGTGTGTGTGGGGTGGGGGGGGTTGCTTTAAGACTCTGTTGTAATGTTTGTTCAGGACAGCTTGAGGTCAGCTCCACCAGTGGAAGCTTAAATGAGTTGAAATGGATCAAACTTAAACCAGACCGGTTCTGGTTCTGTTTTCAACACAAATGGTTGTTTTGGAAACCTCTTATTTTTGAGTTATAAAGCAACATAACTTTTATGTCTTGCTAACTTTTCTCCTTTATATCCCACATTTTCCTTTTTTTTAAAACATTGTTTTGTTAATTCAGTGATTTCCGTTTGGATTAAAAAAAAAAGACCAATAAACATTTTACATTCTTTCCAAAACATTATTTATTGTTGAAACGTGTGTGTGCTGTAAGCTAACCCAACTGTTCCATACCGTTGGTGGGTCAGGGGTCAGGTTAGGGTGTAGAAATGACCGGTAGATGGATGGAAGTCCCAGTGAGGATAGAAGTGTGTGTGTCTATTTCAAAAAGACACTTAAAGGGGCAATATCTTGTAAAATTTTCAAGACAGGTTGTAAACTACATGACGTTATTTTGATGAGGTGTAGAAATGGGAGTGACAGAAACGGTAGGAGGTTCTTGAAGAGACAGAGGACAATTTTAAGGCGTTTTGAAAGGCTATGACGCAAAGTCAAATTCACTTTTGATTTATGCAAATTGACTGCAACTAAAGGTGACAGTAGCTGCGTGTCCATTGGCCATGAAAATACGCAAATTAGAATTTCGAATTTAAATTTACTTAATGGAAACACGTCAATTTTGAAAAAATAAATACGTTTTTCGACAAAATGTTTTTGCACTAGGATGAGGTGGTTTTTCGGCCGTATCA